TAAAAATAAATATGTTTTGATATTTTAAATAAACAGGAAATAATGTTTGGGGAAGGAGAACATTGTCACCAGAGGGAATCTTAACTACGACAGTATAGCTAAGAGGGGGAGGAACCAAAGACGTAAATCAACTAATTAGCAGTCTCTCTTTTAACTGCTAATTTAATCTATCCCTCTCAGCCTCTTTAATGGTATTTTTTCCCCTGTCAGTTACAACCAAAGAGAGGTTTAGCATTTCAAAAGTGTACCCAGGCCTTGCAATGAGGGGGTAATAGAATAGTCACAGAGGCTGGGAGGAGGCCTGAGCTCAGGGAGGGAGGAAGAAAAGAAGGATACTGGGGAGAGGCCGTCCTCAATGCCACCGCTCAGTCTCCCCATGTGGAGAAAATGAAAGGGAGGGAAGTCTGAGCCTTTTTAAAATGCACAAGGCAGAGCACCCTACGGTAGCATGGCTTCTCCGCCACAGCTAACGCCAGGCCCGGGGCAAGCCTTCTAGGAGTTCCTGAGTACGCAGAATTTAGATCCATGCGGGATGTTGGCCGTGCTCAAACCAAAACCTCAATGCCGCACTGAAGCTTTGCGCCAGGATCATTTATTCACTCAGCACTTTTACACATTTAACCTCACCTCTCCCCAGATGTCCACCTTTAAAAGAAAAGGAAAAAAAAACAACACCGCGTCCTTGCCTCCAAGTGTTCAACCACTACCACCCTAATCAGCACATTTGCTGCCATGAGGGACCAGTGAGAATATGCAATGTGAGCACAGAGAGCCAGATCAAGAGAATTCCCAGAGCTGGTGTATCATGGTATGTTTGACTGCTTCGTCCTCCCCTTCATCCCCCTCCATCCCCCTTCCACACCCTGGGGTAGCCTTTGTGTAGGGGCCCCCCCCCCTCTCCACCTCGACACTCCTCACACACCCTCAGTCCCTCGTGAACTATTCTCTTCCCCTCCTCCATGCCTTACAATCGCCCTGTTAAGGCGACACAATGTGGCCTCCAACCCACAGGCTTTTTTCTGCGTGTCAGCCTGCTTTATTTAAGAAAGGCTCTGCACTGACCAGCCACAAAAAAAAGGCAAGTCTTAAAACAAATTGGGCCAAAACAAAAAAAAAAGGAGGGGATGGGTAAGAGGATGAAGCCCCCTTTCGCCACCCCACACATACACAAACACACTCCCCACCTCTCCGCCTTTCATTCTCGCTCACATCTATATTACTGGAATCATGGGCAAACTAATCCACGGCGAAGCTAGATTAAGTAAACATGCAAAGTGATGTAGAATCAAATGGGGATTAGCATTATGCAATTTGCTTGTGCGTTGCTGTGTCTGCAATTCTAACGCTTTGCATTTTTCCTACCAGGAAGCGAAGCCGCGGGAAGTCAAAGTGTGGCATTTGTGAACTGAGACAGAAACCAGACGACACCTTTCATCCTATAAGGACATGTCATTTATCACTACCACACCGACTGGCAATAGGGAATGTTTGTCCTCCACGTCAAGTGTTAGAACAAGATGCGTTTACTATGCCGACTGACCCACGAGTCTAATATCCTGGACACGCCTGCTGCTTTCCAGTATCAACCAGCTCCAGACTAAAAAGTTAATATGAAGTTATGTTCCCGGAGTATTCTTAGTGCGGACGGCTTAGCTCTGTCTGGCTATACGTTTGTAGAGCTTAGACTGACAGAATATTTGACGGATAAAGTGAGAATTGCTAAATAAGTCATAACAACATTATCAGCAAGCGATGGGCATAACTCTCCTCAGTTCCAACCGTCGAAACTGAAGCCTGGTGACACATAGCAGCTAACTCCTGAGGAGTTTGAAGCACCAAGACACACAGGGCACTGAGATGCATCCTCAGTTTTATAAAATGAACTATATCCTCTGACTCGCCGTGCAGACATGCGTATCAGTCTAGCTGCAGCCACGGCAAATTACAAACTATTGATGTCAGATGGATTTGCTAATTAATCCAATTAAGCAGCGCTTTTAGGTCATTAGGGGAAAAGCAGATCATTAAGAGCTACCGCCTAATTATCTGCCCTAAAACAAACTGCTTTGAAATGTTTATCTCGTCTGTCATTAATGACTTCGCCACAGTTCTCATGAACAGGAAGAGCACACGGGCTGCCCTCCCACATTCCTCCATGTGGTTTCACTAAGCCAAAGTCGGCCTAATCCTGGATCTTAGGGTGTAAAACCCTGCTTGATTTGGATTAGGATCAGATTAATGTGAACTAGTGGAAGTTATAGATATAAAACTTCATGGGCACTGTCACCTCGCGCAGGTGTGAGATTTTTCAGCAGACCTGAGGCTCTTTTCTACTGCCCGCACACAACATCTGTTCACAGAGTTAAACGCTCGGGGAAAAGAAAGAAATCATGATTTGGGGGCCATTTAGAATACCGCTGTTTCACAAAAAAAAGAGTAGAAAAAAGCAGCGAGAGAGCTTGAAGGGAAGAGGCTGGCTTTAATGAGCAGGTTTTAAGGCCAAAGGAAAGGTAATCGTAAAGAAGACAGGAGACAGAGATGGCTCTCACCTGTGGTCTGTGCTCATTAACTGGCCCTGAATCCTGCTGTGTCCTGTCATATCATCATGATGTAGGAGGTGGAAGGGCTCAGCAATTTCTCAGCACTTACGAGTAAATTTGTCAAACCTGCTGGGGGCTGGGGCTGATTACCAGGGCACCAATGACTCCCACAGCCCATATTTATCAGCACCAGCACACGGTCACACGGTGCTGTGCTTGCATACGACCACCCAAAGAGTTTACAACAACATGGATGTACATTTTCAAAAAGGAAGTCTGATATTTGCCTTGACATTATATCCTGCCTGTTAATATGTGTCATTCAAATCTCTTGAAAGTAATCTGGAGTGTCATTTTGAGTGCGAGGAGCACAGGCGCCTCTTCTGAATGGTTACTCTGAGGTGAGTATAAGGTCTGACGGGCACATGGAGGAGAGATAACAACCATTTAGTGTGTGGCAGATCACCTGATAACAGGGCCCGAGCATGACAGATGAAGGTATCAATTTGCAACCTTCAGACAGCGCAGGGCTGCAATAAGCATGTCAACACAAGTTTGACAAGGACAAAGGTCATCTCGTCCCTCTCCCTCTATTTCACACACACAAGTGGTATAAAAATACTTTTACAATCAGGCCAGCAATGTGAAAACGATCTTGATTCTATCATCAGAGATGTTACGAAACACCATTAGGAGTTTGTTTGAGAGACTTGATACCTTCCCTACACTATAATGAAGTTATTACCCCTCCAATTAGCAGCAGCTATGAAATCTTTTTTTGTTGGCAAGTGGTGCGTAATCCAATTTTCCTGACACGAGTGTCTAATCCACGACCAATCCGTTGAGTATCAGTCCGTCTCTACATTAGCAGGCCCTATTCTCACGCCTCTCCCAAGAAAACCTCCCCAGACATCCCCACAGCCGGGCGTAATTGGAAACCCTGGTGTCTGACGGTCTCTCTCACAGGACAGGACCATTAGCGACTCAGGCCGGGCTCAGGATCCGGCCGAGGGCGAAGCAGATGGAGCCACCACCTATAGCTCGAAACCCTCACCTCTGATCCTACTTCCTGTTCAGGTGCTACAGTGTTTCCTCAAACAACTGTGGTGTTGCAGGATTTCCCCCATCGCTACATTTCTGCCTCTCTACATGAAACAAAGACCCAATTCAGGAAACTAATCAGGAAGCACGAATGACGTTTGAATACGGACAAATTCTGCAGAAAGTCAGTGACTCTAAATCTGGAAGAACACAGCGACCAGACAGAGAATTGAGACCTTTCAGTTTGGGCATGATTGAGATCCCTAACATGTGTAGTCGTGCAGAGAGACATTCTTTTTAGGAACAGATAGACACAAAGCAAGAGTTTGGAAAGAAAGGTGTTTTGGAGCTACGATAAACAGGAAGAGTAAAGTATTAATATTTCAATAAATAAACTACCTTATACATGTTTTTTCTTCTTAATCTGTTCCATTTCTGGGGTTTTGTACAAGCTTCTCTTTGTGTAAAATGACCCACTTGCTGCCATTCAGGGTGCACTTTTCCTAATGTCTTATAATGGGGTGAGGATTTGCTTCCTCACAACTCAGAAGCAACTGACCTGGAAAACCCAGCTATCATGGTCCTGGAGCTCTATCAAGACATCATCCATGTGATGGGTGAGGAGGAATAATGTGTAAGATAATATGGAACGATGGAAGCAGCATCAGAGGACAAAGACAACTGAAACCCAGCAGGCGGATCTCCACACAAAGCTGAGATAAAACCAGACCAACAGCCAAATGAAAAATAAGATATGTGGCCGATTTTCATCTTTAAAACATATACAGAATGTTGCACTCAGCAATAACATTCATGCAATGGGCAGTGTGGTGACATACATGGAAACATGGTCTCCATAGGGGCTCGTGCTGTCTGTATGACCGATGATAGCTGCTCCCTCCACTGATCCCACATGGCTTCAGCACTTTATGTGTGACTCTCTTTATGTGTGCTCAGCTCTTAGAAGTAAGACAACCCCTTCACCCTGAGGTTTTACGTGTTTTGGTCAAGAGGGAAAATTTCGTTGTGGTGAATCAGAATTGCCTCCCTCATTGCAAAGCATGAGACCGAGGGTTAAAACACACTCCGTGTTTAACACAAGTCCAGTGTTCAAATGTGTTTTGTTATGGTTGGGGAAGTTAATGTCAACATTTTGCCCTGGAGCAACTATTTTTCACTGAGACATTTATTATGTTAGTAACACATTTTAATACTTTTTTACAATGTTTTAAATTTAACTGCTTTGTGCTACATGTAATTAATTCCAGTTTCATTGCTATAAGCTCTGTAGCTTCACAAATAATTAAAGAGATTTCTTTTCACCTTTGACCTTTTTTTTTTTTATTAAACTTGTAGCTAACATCCCCAATGAAGGGCTATAGCTCATGGATAACTTCGTAATGATGGTCACTGACTTACCTGAGCACACATGGACAAATCCTAACAGAAATACAAATCCAATAGAAGTTGGAGACATCATTCAACGCCTCTCTTGTGAGAAATGGCCTTGTGTAATCCAAATTATTCAAAAAGGCAATTTAGGCACCCGCTCCGTCATGTCAAACTGCAAAAAAAAAAAAAAAAATCCTAGAATCCAGAGTTTAAAAATATAACACCCAGATTTTAGTTTGTGAGTCTCAAAAAGCTAAATATCACAACAGTCCAGGAGCAGTTTATCAAGAGCTTGCCTTGGCTTCTTGCTGTGGATGAGTGGAAGGCTTCAGAAAATGGAAAAAGAAAACATAATACAAAAACAGTTCGCCACAGCTCTAACACACCATGTTACAACTCTGCTAGACTATGTGGGCAGAGAGGACGGAGAGCTTCTCCTTTCAATTCATCCCGCTGCTGCAGCGCGCTCAGACCACTCAGGCGATCTCAATCAAACCATTTCGCTCCTTTGTGCAAAAAAAAAAGGACGAATTCCAAAATCCACTGTGACTAAAAGTTAAGTCAAAAGTGAGTGAAATGGCGCGTGCGGTCGCTGTAGTCCACAGCTGAAAGCCTCTGTCCTTGCAGTCACATTATTTCAGTCCAGTCTTGAATCTGTCACTTGAGATCGGAAAGTTTGCGAGTTAGTCCTGTCCTCCCTCATCCACCGGATCCGGGACACAAGATCAGTGCAACTTTTCCATCACTTTGCCACCGTTTTCTCCGCTGCTGCAAGTCCGGCTGATCCTCGCGCGCGTCGCAGACCCCGAACCTCAGGCGAGAGGGGGGAAATACGGATTCATATTCACTGCGTTTCATTCAAGGAAAGCGGAGTGCCTCGCCAATTGGTATGCGCCTCTCTACCCCCTCCATAGACCCGACAATGTTTCCCAGAGCAGAAATTTAACCTCTTCGAGCCTGGATGAGCGCACGCCGACAGGCGAGATTACTGTATTTGCTTTAACTTTGTCCAATAATAAGAGAAACCTTATCAAAGTACTTGGACATGTTTTTATTTCTTCTGCGGGTCCATGAATAAAAATGAAAGTAACAGCCGCTTCCAGTGATATTCCTAAAGGGACTTATGAGTATGTTTTTGGAACTTGCCAGTTATCATATAATGGCTTTACCATACTTTAGGGGTTTGTTTTGTCTCCTGTGGTTTCATAGACCATTAATATTCCAGTATTACAAACTTCAATATATACACATGCTATGTTTATCCTTCTGCAATGTAGTAGAGGATGAAAAAAAAAGTAATTAATCAAACTGCCCAAACATGATACATTGTATACATAGGTGTGCCGTTTTATTTCAACACTTTTATTTTACATGTAAAGCCTCTGGTCTACATACAGGCCTGTAGTGCCTGTGTTGGACTGAGCGCTTAATTCCTAATGTTTCCAAAAAGCAGCCCACTTCAAATATGATTTAAGAATATAGTATGTTCTAAATTCCAAATTTACAACGTACAGTTAAAGTGCATAAGTTCACTGTGACTACATATGGTTAATTAGAATCGGACTGTATATCTTGTGATCCATGTTCCAAAGGTATTATATTTCCCTCAATGTGACATAAACTTGGGACTCACCCATATGAAAATGTGTTTCTCATCTTTTTTTTTAGACTTGAATGAGTCCGAGTTTCTCTGGGTTCACTTCAGCCTACAGTCCCTGCAATTTATCTGCACCTCTGAGTCATAACCGACCTCAGACAGAGACTACTTATTTTAGATTGGCCAACAACAATTGCTGTGCAAGTTATCTTGCATTAAAAGATCTAAAATGTAGGGGGAAACATGAATGACTAAAAAAGAACAGCTGAAAGACTTCCACATTTCCGCAGCTCAGCTCAGCCCGGAGCTTGTGAATGGCTCCACTGAACATTAGTTACCAAACAGCGCCCTCCAGTGGAGTTTGACAGAACTAATCCAAGACGAAAAAGTCCATATGCTCGGCCTATGTCAGCCTGGTCCTGGTGACACATTAGTCATCAAAACCAGGGCTTTTCAAAGTGTGTCATGTTTCAAATACTTCCCACGTTTAATGACAATCTTGTCCCAGAAAAAAAACATTAAAAATAGCCCTCATAAGTATATCTTTTTCAAATGGACCACGACAACACTCCATTTCATTTTATTCTCTTACAAATGAAAAGATGATCATCAGGGATCGTATGAATAGTTTGAAAAGATGCTGTTCACCCAAAAATAATGCTGTTTATCAACAGTCACGGTAGATTTGGCACCCTGCTGTTTGCTCTAAATGTATCCATTTAACCAATTGAATTTGAAAACCCCTTTGGTTCCCCTTCAGCGACCCTTGCGTGTCTCTATGCACCAGTTTGAGACCCCTGCTGGAGTCTGCATGATGATGACTGCTACCCGACTGACGTATTCAGACAAAAGTCTGTCTTTCAACTCTGAACATGATTGTATTTCTCATTCATCCATGTGTCCATTACATTACAGTTTTTCACACTCCATTCCAACTTGTTCCTCATGTGCCCTGTTTTCCTGAAAGCGTTTACAGCTCTGGATCTGTAAAGTGGCTGTTCAGCTGAATACCACCAATTGAGGAATACAACTTCCTCTCGCCAGCAGCAGGGAGCTGTAACATAGCAGCAATTATCAACAAAGCCCTGAACAGAACAGGAGGGTGTCTGTGAGGGCTGATTGCTGCAAGAGCATGCGAGTGTTTTGAACTTTTGATGAAGCACAGCAAAGTAAAAAAATGCAAAATTATAACTGTGTCACACAAAACAGACATTGTTATCACAATGTCAGTAACAGAGTGCTCTTTTTCTTCCATTATCTGCAAATAATAGAATGATAGAGGGGGATTTGCTAAACGTAGAAAAAAAGGACTGATGTCAGTAAATTGTTATTTTGCTGGTATTTTTGTGATTTCAAAGAACCACCCGCCCTAAAACATATATACATATTTGCCCATGGCCCCACCTCTATCAACACATTTGCATGACTTAATGTTGCATCAAACCCTGTTGTATTCAGGTGTAGTTTCGCCCTTTTTCTTTGGTTGTCAAGAAAAGAAAAAAAAAAAAAATCGCACAGTAAGCACAAGTTATGACAGCAGAGCTCTGTGAACAGGGAGGCTCTGTGTCCTCTCTCCTTTACCCTCCTTTGCAACCTTGATCAGAGCAGCAGAGGCAGGAAAAAAAATACATATTGCCAGGGCTGTGACGGCAGCAGAGACAGCAGAGAGCTTTTAACACCTCGGCCAAATCGTTTTCACACAAAACAACTTCCAAGAATATACACAGCACAGAAGGATAAAAACCCCTCATCCCAAACTGCAAAGCGCTCCAAGGCTTTAATGCTTTAACAACCAGTAAAGAGAACCAAAACAACTTTTGATCAAGTCAGAAATGTGTTGAGTCATTAGCTTTTGGATGACAGTTACGTAATACAGCACTTTTTTGTACTTACTGTGAAAGACCTGGTTACATTTGTGTGGTTTGTTGTGGGAGTGTCTCATCGTCTGGTGGTTTTGTTGAAGTCCAAAATTATAAGGCAGCCCTTTGCACCAGTGAGACTTCTGTAACCCAGCGAGGCGATGGGCCCTGCGTGGACCCTTGTGGTCTTTAGGAACTCCCAGCATGACCAGCATGGCAAACAGCACCACCAGCAAACACACAATCTGCATGGTGATGTGTCTGGACAACACACAGCCGGTAGATGTGAAAGCATAGAACTATCATAGAAAAACACACCGTTGTTGTTTGCTCAGGGGCTGCCGGCTGGTGTTCTTTGAAAAGTGGAAAATAAATTCAAATCCAATCCAAAGATCCTCTTGAAAAGTCTGAAAAACTGCAACAAACCGCAAACATTGCCGAACTTCCCACCAAGAGTCCTTCATGCTGCTACCCTTGAGATCTGCCAAATACATAAACCCCTGCTGTCCTGGCGGGTCTCCTAAATCCAGTGACAATGTGCCCCCCCCCCAGAGTACGATGGGATCTTAATGAGGGCAACTCTGTATCTCTTTATACAATGTGCATGGTGAAGTTCACAGCCCTCTCCATCTCACCATCGCTCAATGGAGAGACTGCCTCTCGTCTTCCCAGCCTTTTTTATCTCGGATAATTCTCCTTTTAATATTGAAAAGGAGTTCGTGGACGGGCCGTCTTTTCTATGCGGGCGGCCGGACGGGGCATCCTGTAGGCTCCGTGCTGAGTCCCTTTTCAGATGTGTTGGACTCCTCACAAAACCTAGGCCCCCCCAGCAGAGAGGTGATGGGGCGACGAACAGGCGGGGTAAGGCGAAAGAGCCCGCTTTCCCTTTTCCCCAACTAAGACTATTAAAATGGCTTTCAATTCCCATCTCACCAGCGCACCAAACAAGGCGGCATAAAACAAAACCTTTCTCCTTCGAAAAGATACTCCCTGTTGAGAGGCAAACAAAACACTCTTTTCCAGTAGACGGACAAGTAAAGACACTTTTCCATCCCCAGAAAAAACATTTCTTTGGGGTAGATTTCACAGTCCACATTCTGAAGTTTTACCTCCTGAATATGTTAGGAAGTAAACAGAAAGTTGTCAAAGTTGCAGTCAGAGTCACCTTGGACATAATGTGGTCAGGTACAGTATGTTTGAGCTCCCTTCACAGGCACTTAAGTTGGACAAGGTATACTTCGCTCGCCTCACATTCACTACAGTCTTCTATCATGTTCATGCCCTGTCCTTGAGGAGCCATTATTTCACTTATTCACTGTGCAACTTTTCTTTTTCTAAGATAGCAATACAAATGTGTCGTCTTTGTGAGTTGGCAATGGGCAGCGCGTCTCCAAGGTGTTTTGAAAAGATAAACACGAAATACATGAGGTAAAAGGGCTGCGTTTCATTGTGCTCCTTTCTGCTTTCTCCAGAACGAGCAGTAAATAGCTGCAGGGTAACTTTCTCGTGCATCAGTATTTGGGCTGTGATTCACTTTTGCAGTTACATAATTGGCCCATCACAACTCAGCAGCAGTATCTATGATGACTGAGTGAACCAGTCGGGAGGGCAAGGTCCTCTGACAAGAAAGGGCGAGACTCCCAGGGCTGCTTTATGCTCATACACACACTTGCTGTGTGAAATAGGTGAGGAAACTTGATTAAGCACTGGCTGGCCAATGGCATCAATTCCCATCATTCTAAAGCTCTGTCCTTGTCTCTTCACCAACCTCAATGGAGGACCAAAGGCTTAAAATAGAGTAGTGTAAACATATGGGATTGCATTTACTTAACTGAGCCAACATTTATCCCAATGTCTTGAAACATGTGGAAATCTTTTGTTTTTAACACTTCCTGTAAGACGTTGCATGATTGATAAGTGTGGTCGCTTGAGTCTGCAGGATGTATTGTGTTAAATGAAGACTGATTCGTCATGCAGTCGGCTTATGAGGAGGAGCTCTCCAAGCTCTGACACGGTACTCTTGAGAATGAAATGATTTTCAGGAGGGCTGACAGATTGTCAACATGGGACCGACGAAGATGGAAAGGAAGGAGAGGAGAGATGACCTGTGGGCCTGAGGAAGTTATCGGTGTAACTGTGTCACCGCTAAAAGAGGCAACAAATCATTTCTGATTGGTTGCTGAGAGAGTGGCGAAGCTCCGGGAGCACAAACCATGCCACAGCTAACTGCACAAGGTCCTGCCATCATTAGAAATGTTTGACTGGAAATGACTTCATGTAGTGTTTCTAACTGCAGACCAGTCAAACATTTTGATTTATGTCCATTTTGAAAAACTAACATGGATTGTAAATTAACATAAAGACTGCCCAACAGTAATAACAAAGATACATTATTTTGGGCTTAAGTGTAATGCACACATCATCATTATTTGGACATTTGTCTTACATAGGGCCAAAAGACTGAGTGAAATTCAAATCACAGCTGGCCAGTCAGATTAAAACCAACCATATATAGACCTTGACACATATCAGCAGAGACTGAAAGTGAAGCTCTAAGTGTTGTCTTGTCATATTTCTGGAACATCCACAACAGAAACCTCAGTAATTGTCAGGCTATTTCACTCTTCCTGTCCACTGTGGACAATACTGTGGCCCCTCAGCTCTACACAAGAGCCCAAGAATGTATAACTCCGGGCTCCATCCCAGAATAAATACAGTCGACCCACTCAGAGGAACATCAGAAACAAGCCAGGCAGTCCTTTAAAATCCAGAAAAGACAGAAAATTCCTCTTGTCACCATCATATTGAGAGTTTGCCAGAGAGGAGATGAAGGGACAGGCGATACACAAAGCAAGTGAGATGCAAAGCAGAGTCTAACAAAACATAAACAGAAGAGTGAGAACATTCCTCTTCTCACTATTGCCTCTCTGTGCTGCTTTCAGACATGATTAAAAAAAAAAAAGACACGGGTCCAGTGAAAGAAAATGACGGAGAACTAAACAAATCTGTTTCTGTTCAGGGAATGCCCCCATGCATGACTCTGCTGCAAGAAATGTGAGGCAAAGGGGAGCGGGGTGTGGGGGGCAGACACCGAGGAGAAAGAAAGAGGGGGCGCTTCACAGGATGCCGCGTCGAGGTTTGGAGCACAAAGCAGGACGAGGCGATAAACAGGCTGTTGCTTTTCCGCTTGCCTGCGCACACTGAATCCCTCTTTCCCTGTGTCTTTTAATGGGCCTCACATTAGCATCTGTTTAGCGTCAGCGACGACATGGCCTGTGGAGGCTGATTAAAATAACCCAGCTATCACATAACATCCTGGCAGCAACATCAAAATACAGTCAGATGCGGGGAATATTTGCAGCAAGAGACGTTCAGGAGGTTAGCACGAGCGTTCTGCACTTCTGTTGTCAGAACAATGTTTATTTGTTACTTCTGTTCAAACTCCCCTGCTGTGAGATTACGTTCCATACGGAAAGATATAAAGTGAATTGTGTTAGTAACAAGTATTCAACATTAAGATTACAATGCAGCACTTGAGTAGTACAGCATCCAATGTGTGCATGTCCATGCGTGACTGCACTAGTGTAAAAGGAAGATAAGATTTGACAACGATTAGAATAAAGTTATCTCTGACTGTCCTTGGATTGCTCTTCTTTTCATCCAACACAGCTTGTTGTGTGTCCTTCCCACATAGAAATTCACAATGGCAGAAACAAGCAGCATTGTGTTTCATGCTTAATTGGCTGAATTGGTTTAGAGACAGAAGAGCTTCAACGAGTGACAGAGGGCCTCAGGGTAACGCAGCCAAGAGATTCCTTTTGTTCCTATCGCTGCTGGACCTCAGCCAATCACATGCCAGCGAGATACAAGACAAGAGCCTGACCAAGAGCTGAGCTCAATCAGAGCAACAATCTCACCAGTATTTAAATGAAAAATAAACAGCAATTTCAAGGTTTCCAGGTCAAATCTCCTCATTATGTGTATGTCATCCATTGCAACTGCATTGATTTTTAGCTGTGAAGGTTTAGCTTTTGCAAAGGCTCCTCTGTCAGCGAATGTTTTCTACAGATTTGACAGCACTGACAGTGACACTTGAAGCAACTCAATTAGTGTCCAATTAAAGAGAACCAGTTACACATTCAGGACACTTCAAAAAGACATTTTGTATTTCGAGACTACAGCACATTACTTGACAAGACTAATAGTTCAACAAGGTCTGTTGGCTTCATCCTCTGGGGAGCATGAAGTTCTGTTCAAATTTTCATTGCAATAGTTGTCAAGATATTTTAGTCTGGACCATAGTGGTGCACTGACACAGCCATCCGTAGAGTCACACCTAAAAAGTGTGGCTAAAAATACTATTGGCAGTTTTTGTGGGCTACATCAACATTTCTAATTCAAACTATAACAACACTTGGGTTTTCTCCATATTTTCTGTCATATTATTGAAAAGAAATCAATCAAAGAAGTAAAAACACAAATTGCTCTCGCAGTATTCTAGACAAACCTCAACTGCACACCCAAACTGTCATAGAGCTGAGAATTGATGGGACATTAATAATCTTTTTTCCTCAAAGTTATTTCTTGGAGAAACTTTCCAGAACTGTACTTAGGATATCATTCTGCAGTAGTTGTGGTTTTCAGTGGGGCCCTAGAGCCGACATCATTGACTGATCTCTCTCTGAAGACCCCGAGCAGAGAAAAATGCAAAGACACTGCTCATGCTAAAAGCATTCCCCGTCTCTCTAATAAAAAGCCTATTCTTTCGGCCTTTCGCTGGCGCGATCAGCTGCCAAAACAAACAGGCGCTGTGATGAATGTAATAAATATGATCGATGGGATATCTGGCGCTGCTGACCTCACACCACGCGCCAGAGTCCAGGGAGCAGGTGCTGCCCAGATTTACAACCCTCCCCCCAATCTCATGACCACATCTCCACCCACCCACCCCCCTACAGCTCACACTGAGTCTCAGAGAACC